ATACTATCCGAAAGCTTTTGTCGATCAACTACAGACAGACATTCTCTAACCGAAATCGGATATCTATACCGGGGGAGGAGACATGCAAAGAAATCTGACGGCACTCATCGACCTAGCCATTAGAATCACTAATAATGATGGCGGGATGGATTGTGCTTCGCAGACGTGCGCCGCACCCTCGCCCGGCACGCTAAACTCGTTAAAGCAGACGGGGATAACTGCGGGGGCTGTGGTGGGCGGGGCGGCGTTCTGCGGCGCGCTAGGCTTAGGCGTCTTTCAGCTCTACAGGCGGCGGGGGTTAGCGGCATGGCCATTTGGAAAGCGAAAAAGTGGCCAGCTTGATAGGAGCCGCATCTCGCGACTGATAAATTCTGTAAATAGCCTTAGCTAGAATTGGCTTATGACTGAATAGTACTGCCCGCGTTTAGGGTCGTCTATTGACAGTGCACTCGACAAAACGCGAATGAAAGCGCCAAGTGGCTAGACGCGATCGATGCATGGCTTGCTAGAAACTAGTAGCCGGCTTAGCCCATCGCAAGAGACGGAGTTTTGCACCGGTACTGATAACTAACACGGAAAGAGGTGATGAGCTAGGAGAAAGCACCGCTATTTCTGCGTCCTGTTGCGCGGGTGAACAGTCAGTGGTTTTAACAAAGAAGGATTCCATCACTGGCATGCTGTAATCCAATAACAAAGATACTGTAGCGTTTCCGAGTGTCCTCAGCTTGTTCATCCCTAGTAGGCGTGGCACTTTCACTTGTGAAGAATGAAAGTAAATTCGATTTGTTCACCGTCTAAGTGGCCGAACGTGACCCAGCATCCTGTCACGGCCGAAGTTCTTCTGCGTCGCTAGGCTGTCCCTCATCTGTCGTCAGCATCTACAGGTACAGTAGACTCGCGGGCAAGACTAGCTTCAAACTCGAGTCAGATAATCAAAGTTCCGCTGTGTCTACTACTGCGACATTACTAAATAAGTAGATGGGTTTGTTCGCGTTTCGTTTTGGCGGAAGGGGGCTGTATACCAACCGAAGACCCCGAGATATGATAGCCGCTGTTTGTAGCCGTCGTGGTCGCGAAGAGCCACTAGTCGGCGCCTCGACCATAGCTGATACGGAGATGTTACTGGGTCTATGTATAAGAAGATCCGGTGAAGGGCTGTAGCCGGAACATAACCTGCAAGACGCCCATAGGCCCCCATATACGTGCTACGACCTAACACATTACCACCA